ATGCATAAACTTTCTCTCCCTGGTACTTCTGAGTATTGAAGCTCATGCCTGAAGACCTTCAGTCTCTTTAGGAAGGAGCAAGTTCCATCCTTGTCCCAGCCAGCAGCACTAGGGAACCTGATCTGTTTGGGGATGTCCCTGCTTATGATTCTCTGGTCATCCCCCTGTTCATGGCACTGGTGAGGCCACCCCTCGAAACCTGGGATCAGTTTTGGGCCCCTCACTCCAAGAAGGACATTGAGGTGCTGGAGTATATTCAGATAAGGGAAATGAAGCTGGTGAGGGGTCTAGAGCACAAGTCTTGTGAGACATGGCTGAGGGGAGACCTTCTGGCTCTCTACAGCTCCCTGATAGGAGGCTGGAATGAGGTGGGTGCCAGGCTCTTCTCCCAAGTAACTAGTGATAGGACAAGAGGAAATGGCCTGCATTTGCACCAGGGGAGGTTTAGTTTGGATATTAGGAAAAATTTCCTCCCCAGAAGGGTTCTCAAGCCCTGAACCAGGCTGCCCAGGGCAGTGGTGGAGTCCCCATGCCTGGAGGGATTTACAGATGTGTAGATGGGGTGCTGAGGGACATGGTTTAGTGGTGGGTTTGGTAGTATTAGGAGAAAAGGTTGGATTCTATGATTTTAAAGGTCCTTTGTAACTGAAACAACTCTGTGATTCTAAGCTGAAGCTATTGAGAACCTGTAAGAAGCAGGTAAAGGATACAAATTGCCCACAGTTTAAAAAAAAGCCCAGCTGTGTTCCCTCTGCCTGGTGTCATCTGGCTCACTGCATGAGAAGCAGGTAAATTTCCTGAGTGAATAGCTTTAATTATTGTTAGGCCAGCTGACCTTGGTATTTTGAATAATAAAGAATGTGAGAGAATATGAATACAGATGTGGTCATTTCTGACCTGATGGTCACTGATCTGAGCACAGGGAAACATTTTAGCTGTCAGATGGTCTAAGAGGAAGGATGAGGAGGGGGTAGGAAAGCATAGAATGGCTTGGGTTGGAAGGGACCTGTCAAGTTTGAGTCCA